ATTAACCATTTCAAACTGTACAGTTCAGCAGTTTTTATTATATTCACAATGTTATGCAACCATTACCACTATCTAATTCTAGAACATTGTCATCACCCTGAAAAGAAACCCTAACCCATTAAACAATCACTCCCCATTTTCTCTACCCTCTAGCCCCTGGCTACTGTTAATCTATTTTCTGTGTCTATGGCTTTACCTATTCTAAACATTTTATGTAAATGGAATCATATAATATGTTGTCATTGTGTCTGGCTTCTTTCACTTAGCGAGGTGTTTTCAAGGTTCATCCACATTGTAGCATGCATCAGTACTACGTTCCTTTTTATAGCTGAGTAATACCCCATTGCACGGATATATTACAGTTTTAAAAATCTATCATCTAATGAACATCTGAGCTGTTTCTAGGTTTTGACCATTATGAATAATGCTGCTGTGAACATTTAAGTGTACAATTAACGTATGTTTCAATTCCCTTGGCTATACACCTAAGTAGAATTGCAGGGTCATATGGTAACTCTGTGTTTAATGATTCAAGGAACTGCCAAATTAATTGTCACAGCAGCTGTCCCATTTTATATTCCCATCAGCAGTGTATCGTATAAAGGTTCTGATTTCTCCTCGTCCTTCCCAACACTTATTTTCTAATTTTTTTTATTATAGCTATCCTAGTGGATGTGAAGTGGTCTGATTTGCATCTGATTAGCTATTTGCTAATGACTAATGATGCTGACAATTCTTTCATGCATGTATTGGTCATTTGTATATTCCTTGGAGAAATGTTTATCTGAGTTATTTGACCTTTTTTTAATTGAACTGTTTGTCTTTTTGTTGTTGAAACTCTCTGGGGTGTGTGTGTGTGTGCGCCTGTGTGTGAGCGCGTTTGTTTGATGCCTGTACAGCTTCTGGTGTAATTTCTTTCGGGTATATATTAATACTTTGCTAGCATTTTCCATACTGTGATCAGAGTTTTTGTTATGTCATGTCCCTTGCTAGACTGTAGGTCACTCTAGAGCAGAAAATGTATATTTTCATTTTTGCATGCCTTTCAACTGTATTACAAAGCTGAAGCAACAGTATCGCAATAAATATGGGAATCAAATTAATCAGAGCTATTTCTAAATTACAAGAAATTACAGTAATTGCTTCCACATGTACCTTATCAGAAACTTACACTGCAGAGACCAAACTGCATATTAAAAATAGACACGAAACAGTCTCTTATTCCCAAGTCCTTCGTTATGGATGATAAGACACTATTCTAAGTTAGAATAAATCCTTTACTTCTTCTTGTTTATAAAGGTAGATGCAAGCCCTTCTGCGCATACTCACAGAGACATACACATATATAGATGCATACATTCTGGGATATCATATCCCAAGGGACTGTGTTTATTTTAACGATAGCTTATCCCAATGATATAATGGAAGGGAAGGTAATTTTTGATTTCCTATATTTAGGCCACCCACATAACTTTAGAGACACTGCCTGAAGAAGGCCTTTTCATTTCATTTTTCCATAAGAGTAAAAAACACACTCAGTAATCATTCATAAATGCCCCAGAGAGGGCAAAACCTCTTAAAATTATTCCTGTTGTATTTTACTGGTTAATTGGTCATAGTTTATACAGAATGATCTTCATAGAGAGACCATGAGCTAAATTAAAAGCATATATATGTACACACACACACACACACACACACACACACACACACACATCACTGCCCTTTCCATGAACTGGGGCTCAATAATGATTTTGGTCTCAGACAATTTAACAAGTTCTAGCTCATATTCGGGTGAATCATCATCATCAATTTCACCTACTCCATTTCCAATTCTTAAATTTCAGTTCTAATATCTTAACATCTGAAGTTTAACTATGACCTGATCTCCACTTTATAATCTAGTTTGGAAACTGGAGCATTATTTTGTTCTTCTATCTCTGTCTCAAAACTCTTCTTGAGCCTAGTCTCTCTAAGACTGATAAGCCAATATTCTACAGATGGGGATTTTGATATGGAACACCAGAGGGTTCCAGATATCCATGACCATTCAATAGAATTCCCTTCCGTGAACTGTCTACATATCTACTTGTGTCCCCAAATTGCACTTGGTTGTGAAATTCCTACTGCTGTGTTCTACCTACCTTCATAGGAGAACACACATTTATCTTACTTTATAATTTAGCTGTTTTTGCAATTTTCTTCCTATAACCTATCACCACAAGTATTTCTATCTTTTGGATTGTGCCAACTCTTGATCATGTTCTGTCCAAAACAACACTGGGCTCATGGAGAGGAGAAAACATCTGTAACTGGGTCTGACCTTCCCTCTAGGACAAAACACCTAGAAAGGAATACCTTGATGACTAGACAGTGGGTAAAACATGGTCTCAGTTATATTTCAGCTAATACTGGAGCTTCAAGTAAGAGAGCACAGTGACAGATTCTGGGCTGAGCAATGCTGAGAAATCCAGGCAGGCAGCCAGACAGGAGAGCTAGGAGATCGGTCCACAGTTAATATGTATCCATAATGGGACAGAGATCTATTAACCAAGAAGATTGGCAAGTGAAACACTAGTTGGACAGGTTCAAACAGCAGGTTTATTCTTGAGATAAGGGATCCAGACAGATGTTTAACACTGGGTCTCCTAGAAAGACTTGGGGGCAATTCTGAAACACAGGATGGATT